CACACTACATTTTTGTATTAAATTATATTATTATCGATTTATAAAGATGACATTCCATTTGGTATTCACATGTTGAATATTTTTGATCAAAAACACAAACTCCCACATCTAACGTTCATTTTGAAAAAAAAAACAAGATTTGATTAACACATTTTTCACTAAGAAACTTTTTATTCATTCACCATATTTTGAAAATGTATATAGGAAATTTTCAGTTATCAATGAAGTATTTTCCGATAAATGAACGCTAAATATTAAAAACAGACACGTTCCATTGATAAATTCGTTTATATCTTCCGAAATGCTTATCAAACTTCAAGAAAATGGAATAACCATTCAACAACGCACGTTTAGATGATTAACGCATATGCGTGTGGTCTTGTGTATAGGTGCATACAATGAAGTCACATTGGAGTTTTTTTTTTTTTTTTTTTTTTTTTTTTTTTAAGGAGGAAGTACCGTTTTAAAACATAATCAATGATCTTTTCACAAGATAATTTTGTAGTTTTTTGACACTTTTGGTTTAGGAGGTAATTTTCTATTATTAGTTTATTTTCTTCTTTCTCTTTTCCTTATTTTTTAAATGCTTTGTATCTGATTTTTTTTTATTAATTTTCTTATCATCTAAATATTATCCACAAATCATCACTCTTTTTTTGGTTTTTCTGTTGCTTCTTGCAAATTACTTCTTTTGTTTCCATATCTCAAAAAAACATTTCTTTCGCCACTTCACTTTTTTGTGTATGTGTTTTTTGTTACCATATTTTGCAAATTACTTTTTTTTAGTTTAAAATCTGAATAACTTTTTCTTTTCCATTTCCACACACAGTCGTATTTCGTTTATTTCAATATTAAATGGTAGCTTTAAACAGTGGCGAAATTTCATCGTTGTATTGTTGAGTTGCTGTTGAGTTTTTGCTTTGTTGAATAGTTTTAATTAACCGTTGAAAGGGGGTTTAGAACACAAAACCATAAATTTGGTGAAATCGTTATTCTTTTATTTTGTATTGATTTGATTTTGAAGACTTTTAACCTTTTTTCTTTAACAGCTGGGTATTAAATCCATTAATTTATGTTTTCTTTTGATGTTCGGTTATTATTATTATTAATCCAACAGTTTGTTTTGTTTATAACTTCATTTATCACTGATTTATTATTTTTTTAGTTTTTATTTTATAATATTGCATCAGGGAATATTTTGTATAGTAATCATATTATTGATAGTATTAAAATTGTGTGATTCAGTTTGTGACCCCTTGATGTATATATCTGGAATATAATTCAACTTATTATATTTTTAAACAAGTAAGAAAAGGCTAAAGACGTGCCAGGCCGACCATGTGATACCCTACAACACTACAATATGTTAGAAGGCCCCGTTATGTCCAAATTTTAGAAGATTTCGCATTTGATATCATGTCATTGAGCACTGCCCAGATATTACCCCTAGCTTTTTGACCAGGGACATTTGCCCAAGATTTACGCACTCCGTCAGGCTGTTAGTTGTTGTGGTCTATTTTACAGCTAAATAAAATCCAATGGTCGTCCGCAATGCTAGACTTCGTCCCTGTCTTTAACTCTATTCTTATGCAAAATTCCGTGTCGATTGGTTTCAATTGTGTGATTAGGAAACTTTTTCTGTTTTTGATTCATTTGAACCCCTAAATATTTTGCGATCATCTCTAAAAGCAAGAGGCCCCTCTTTATCTCCAAATTTAGACTCATCTATGTGATTTGCTAGTCTGCGATATTTTGCTATATTTGTCAACGAAATCAGCATAAAAAACCCCGAAGTTCACCTTTTGTGTATTTCGGATATCGCTTGTAAGTAATGCTGGTATTTTTTCACATAAAATTAGTGGTCCATTGTACCCGCTGTCCTAAATTATAACTTCATGCGAGATTTCGTGTCCTCTGGTTTCTATTTGTGACCTTTATAACGGGTGCAAAATCAGGAAAATTTTTAGTTGTTGGTCCATTTCAACCCCTAATGTATTGCGGACATCTTTGAAAACAATAGGCCTAACCCTTCTGAGCCCAACCCTACTCTTGTGAAATTTTTCGTGAGCATCTGACTATATTTGCAATCCTTATATAATAAATCCAAACTGTGTTGTAAGTTGAAAAAATATTAAAAAATATTATAATTCAAATTGAAAAAATTGCATGCGATAAAAAATATGAAAAAAATAAAAAAATGTCCCAAATAACTACAAAATCTATATTAACATCATTACTGACATCTTTTTATGCGATTTTTTTACATTTTATCCTTTTACGCCAAGAGGGCATTCTGAATTTACAAAATTTGTCAAAATCTGTCCAGCCATTCTTGAGATATAAGCATTCTAGCTAACATCCCCTTCCTTTGTATGTACACATTGTATATATTTCGCTATATATATCCGATATATTTACTATAGGCATCTACGTAACGGCCAGAATTAACCTGTTCGTCAATTTTTGATTTCCCCGAGATTAAAAATATTCGCGGTTTAATGGAAAATTTGACATTTATTTAACACAAATGTTATGGTATATTTAACCCACTAAATATTACCCGATGATCATCCAAATTGAAATCCTTCTGCCCAGACGTAAGCTTTAGTCTCATACTAACTTTCGAAAGAAACATTTTCAGGTTTTGGTCCATTTCAAATAAATAAATATTATGCGATCATCTCCAAAAGCAATAGTCTTCTACTCTGACCCTAGTCCATTCTAAATGTCGTGAAGATCGGGCCATAATTACGACCTGTAGAGTGATTGCATGTTAACATGGACAGATGGACGGACGGACGGGCATACATACCCAAATGGACTCAGCTCGGCGAGATAGGAAAATCCATATATACTTTCCTATGTGGGAAACCAATATTTCGAGATGTTACATAATTTTTGGCCCAATCATACTTATAATACCCCCAACACATAATTTTGTAGGGTATAATTATGTAAATAAAGAATGTGTCGCTCCAATATGTCTGGAAACTTCTCCAAAAAAAAAAAAAAAAATCAGCATTTTCATACATATCTTGTAAAGTGGAGGAAGTAATCGATGCTGTCTATATCTGATACGTCGCAAAACTTATATCAGACGTATGTCAGATGTGAAATGAAAATTATTTATCGACTCCTTCGTACATCCGCTAGAAAGGGTCAAAATTTCGAATAATTATAATGCATACCAAAATATATTTTAAAAAACTGGCATAGGCTGATTATGGTATTTGAAGTCCTTATTATGAAGAAACGCCAATAGGTGCATGTTTTGGTACAGCCCTATATGCTTTTAGCTACTACGAGGATCTTGGCCATATTTTCCAATCGATTTGAGCGAAAATTAATATTTAGCTTCTGCGGGGTAGGAAAGCTTCCAACAGAAGTTATTTAATATTGGAAATTCCAATTGGGAATGTAAACCCCCTTTAGGAGTTTTGCTTTTCTTACCACAACAAATTTGTTGGAAACGTGGGCTAGGGATGGACGCATCGGTATGGGGGAGCTATTCTAAAATATTAAATAATGTTTAAAACAAATAAGATTTTCTACCTTAAAGACACGAAAATGACATTTTTTTAAGCAAACTCAAGTGGAAAATTTGGTCAAGACCCTCGTAATAAATTACATCAGGAGCATCCTATATAAGAACACAACTCCGAAGCATGGACCTGCTTTGAAATTTATTGCACATCCAATGAATTAAAATTAAATCGATTGGAAAATATTGTCAATACCTTAGAATTAAACGTCCTTTTATAGGGGATGTAGTTCCTAGTACATAAGTTGTCATGGCGATTGGCTTCGGTAATGCAATTTCGAGTAAGACTTTAAATTTCAGTCGTTAAATCAACAGATTCTTCTCTCTCACCCCTCATACCTAGCATTGAAATTGTCAGAACACGTTCCCTATGTTGCATGTCTAATAATCATACGACAAAGGCGATAATAGTTTAAAAATTATAAATTTGTTCGGTGTTCTTGATTCATTTCAAAGGTAGGCTATATAGGTTAATTTATATTTCCCATACGAAAAATCAAAATTTAAAAGATATTCCAACACTTTCCACCATTCTCATACCAAAAAAACTTATGTACATAATCTTTCTTTTACTGATATATCCACAAATATCGTCCAATGTTGAGAGAAGAGCATTTAGATAGAACCATTATGTAATCACTATCGGTTCTTCCGACTAATAATTATTCCACTCAATTTTGAGTCGATTTATGATTTTTTTTTTTTAAATAATTTATTAGCATATTGTTTTGCAGCAGTAAAGGTGATTTTTCAGCTGTTACTTCAAAATCGTTTTAATCCAAAAATACTCCATCTACGCATAATCCTTTGCTTTTTTTGGGTTTGTTTATTTATGTGTCTATTTTCTTTGATTTTATTTGTATATTTATGTATTTGTTAGGTTATTTAATGTTTATTAATTTAATAATATATCTTTTTATATACTTCTTTATTTAATTTCTTGTTTGTTTTTTTTTTTTTCATAACAAAAATAATAAAATAATAATAAACTCGGTTTTTGGTGCAGTAATGTATTTGTATATTTATTTATTTTTAGATTATTACAATATAATATGTATGTAGGAATTAATTATTTATTTAATTTTTGTTTGTTTTTTTTTGAGCACCACAAAAATAATATTAAGAAAATGGGGTTTAGGTCTGCCTATATTTTTTGCTCATTTATTCATTATATTATTTATATTTTTTATTTATTATATGTACTTATTTTTTATTTGATTGAATATGTTTTTTTATTATTCTTTTTGTTTGCTTTTTATTATTTTTCTATTTACTTTTTGTACGCCTTTTCTTGAGCATTAGCTTAATTTTATATTTTCCACATTTTAATCCAGCAAATATATTTATCATTCTATTTAAAACTTTTCATAAACATATTATCAATTATTTGTTTAATCATCTCTTAAACATATAATCCATAAATTGCCATTTAATTAACTTTTTTGGACATAAAACTCACTTTATAATGCAATTTCAATTAACACCTACGGCATATACACCTGTCGCTCTTGGGACATACTATCCACCCGGAAAATAGTTAAACACTTTATGTTTGTTGTAAGTATGTATTCAAATTGCAATTTTTACGATTTTTTTCTGCGGGTTCTGCGCATGCGCAAATGTTTCACCAAGAACACATACACTCATACGCACAGACAAAAGGCGAAACGAAACATTGAGTTTAGGCGTTGTTTTCTTGCTCAGCTGTATGTCTGACAACAATCGCTGGCTGGTCAATTAAATTAAACCGCTATAGACATAAACACAAGTGGTAGTCGACAAATACGGCTACGACGCGGCGGATGAGACGACAATGCAGTTTAAGAAGCGAGAGGAGAGGTAACTTCTTCCTAACAAACAAAACGCAAACCGTCGGCGTGTGTCAAATGATTATCGTACGGAATCGAACGAACGCAAATTATTGCGGCAACACGTTAATACGCCTCAATAGTTCGCTGTAAACTGAAATGCCAGCTTAACAGAGCAACAAGTGGGAGCCCCCAATATGGCCAACAACATTGCGCTGAACTGAGCTAAGCCAAACAAACTCAGCACTTAGTTGTCGGACAAGAAAATAGCAGCAGCAGCAGCAGCAGCAGCGGCAACAACAGAAAAAGTAAACAAAACCATGGTTGAAGAGGCGAAGACGTCGAAAGAATCAACGAAAGACCACCACCAACAACAAACACACGGCGAACCTGAAGACAAGAAGTGGTCAGAACCAGTTTTTGTTTGGTTTTAACATTTTCAGTGTGGCTTGATCGGTGCAGGTGTAATTTGAGCAATACAATGGCTTCAAGTAATTTAGGGGAGAAAAAAAGAGAGCAGTTGATCGCTGAGAGAAAAATTGAAATTAACATTACCTCTGAAACGGTTCAAACGGGTAACAGGATGCTGTTAAATTCTTAACAGGCCTCTGTTAAATATCTCAATGGAATTTATACAAGAATTAAACCGGTCCTTCGATTATACCATATAATGATCGTAAAAGACGAAAAAAATTGAGCCTTACTTGCATTATTTCTCTGGCATTGTTTTGTCGTCAGAGAGCATCCGCAAATAAAGTTGTCGTGCAGCCCGACATTGCAACAGTGCAACATTCATTTTCGGTTAACAGTTTGCCCATTGTTACTGCTCCGTTCACACACTAATCTCAGCCATGACGGACGAAATGAAAATCGAAAACTTATTGTCTTAGATCAGTTACAACAGCAGTGATTTTTCTAACAAACCATTTCGAAATGTTCTCTTTTGTTTGACAGAAAATTAAAATGAAAAAATAAAAACACATGGTTCTCAGAGCACACACACACGCCGACACTTGTCAATATGGCTGTGAACAAAAAAAAATGTGTTTCGAACCGGATATTTAGTGGTTCGAGTTATTTTTCTTAAAAATTATGATTTTGGAACGAAGCGGATGCTGTATTTTCGATGTTGTCATTGAATTTTGGAAATTTAGAAGGTGTCGATTATTATTTTTTGTAATTATGTAACAAACAGTTTTCCCAATTGGAATTGAACAAGACTATAGTTAATGAAGATCTTTTCATAAATATATTCATCATAAGTTATTTAAAAATCACCGGCAATTTGAAATTTATATTTTCAAAGAATCTTTTCGATCGAAACTTTGACTACTGCTCAACTATAACTCAATAACCGCTGATCTGATTTTGACGATTCAGACTAATTCGGAATTGTGTCTTGGCAGAAAAGAATAAAATCTAAGAAAATAGCTTAAAAATGTAAAATTTTAACATTTTCATGTTGGGGGTATTATAAGTTTGATTGGGCCAAAAATTATGTAGCACCTCGAAATATTGGTTTCCCACATAGGAAAGTATATATAGATCTTCCTATCTCGCCGAGCTGAGTCGATCTAGCTATGTATGTCCGTCCGTCTGTCCATGTTAATTTGTAATCACTCTACAGGTCGCAATTATGGCCCGATTTTCACGAAATTTAGAATTGAAGTGGGTCTAGAACCAGAATAGAACCCTATTGCTTTTGAAGATGATCGCATAATATTTAGGGGACCAAAAATTTTATGAAAATTTTCCTGATTTTGCAGTTGCACTACAGGTCGCAATTATAGACCAATTGACCTCGAACTTAGCATGGGGCTAGAGGTTACGGCTGGGCAGAAGTCTTCCACTTTTGATGGTCATCGGGTAATATTTAGTGGGTGAAATAGGCCACAACATTTGTGTTAAATAAAAGTAAAATTTTCCATTAAACCGCGAATATTTTTAATCCCGGCGAAATCACAAATAGACGAAAAGATCAATTCAGACCGTTACGTAGATGCCGATAGTAAATATATCGGTTATATAGCGAAATATATACAATGTGTATATACAAAGGAAGGGGATGTTAGTTAGAATGCTTATATCTAAAGAATGGCTGGACCGATTTTGACAAATTTTGTCAATTCAGAATGCGCTCTTGACATAAAAGTATCTAAAGTAAAATCTAAAAAAATCGCAGAAAAATATGCCAATAATGATGTTAATATAGATTTTGTAGTATTTTGTGACATTTTTTTTATTTTTTCATATTTTTTATCGCATGCGATTTTTTCAATTTGACTTATAATATTTTGTAATACTTACAATTATCGTCCGATCCTCACGAAAATTTTCACAAGGGTTGGGCTCAGAAGGGCTAGGCCTGTCCGAAATATATTAGGGGGTTGAAATGGACCAACAACTAAAATTTTCCTGATTTTGCAGCCGTTATAAATGTCACAAATAGAAACCGAAGGACACGAAATATCGCATAAAGTTAGAGTTTAGGACAGCGGGTACAATGGAACACTAATTTTGTGTGAAAAAATACAAGCATTACTTACTGGCGGTATCCGAAATACACAAAACTCGAACTTCTGGCTTTTTTATGTTGATTTCGTTGACGAATATAGCCAAATCGTAGACAATCATATAGATGAGTCTAAATTTGGAGATACAGAGGGGCTTATTGCTTTTGGAGATGATCGCAAAATATTTAGGGGTTCAAATTAATCAAAAACATAAATGTTTTTCCGATCACACAATTGAAGCCAATCGACACGCCTGTGAAGAGAGTTAAAGACAGGGAAGAATTCTAGCATTTTGGATGACCATTGGATTATATTTATCTGTAAAATGGACTAAAGCAACTAATAGCCCGACGGAGTGCATAAATGTTGGGCAATTGTCCCTAGTAAAATCGTAATTTCAAAAGCGAAATCTCCCAATATGGATTTGGACATAAGCGGGCTTCTAACATGTTGTAGTGTTGTAGGGTATAACGACTATAGCCTTTGCTTACTTGTTTATATACGGATCTTTCTATCTCGCCGAGATGAGTCGATTTAGCTATGTATGTCCGTCCGTCCGTCTGTCCATGTTAATTTGTAATCAAGCTACAGGTCGCAATTATGAACCGATCCTCACGGAATTGAAAATGGAGGTGGGGTTATGGTCAGAAAAGAACCATATTGTTTTTGGGTGGAAATGGACCAAAAACAGAAAAATATCTAACTTTTATGTAAGAAAATGGGAAATTTTCTACTAAACCGCGAATATTTTCAATCTCAGCCAAATCGTAAATACATTAAAAGATCACTTCTGACCATTACATTGATGCTAATAGCCAAGAAATCGGATATATAGGAAAATGTGTACAATATATATGTAAATAAAATGATCTTACTTATTCTGCTTATAAATCAAGAACCGCTGTGTCGATTTTCACAATTCCCATCAATTTGAAATGGTCTCTTGCCAAAAAACGATAATATCTAAAAAATCGCGGGAAAATATTCCAATAAAAAAGTGAATATCTTTTGTCGATTTTTTTTTTCAATTTTTGTCATATTTTTTATCGCATGCGATTTTTTCAATTTGACTGACAATTTTGAATTGTACATTTTCTGAACTTTTACACCTCCCACCACTACGTTTTGAGGGTATAATATGCATGTCGCAATTATCGTCCGATCCTCACGAAATTTTGCATGGGGGTAGGGTTAGGGTCAGAATTAAAGCCTATTGTTCTTAAGATGTACAGGTTTGAGGTGCAAATGGATTAAAAAAAAAATAAAAATTTTTCTAATTTTGTAGTCGCTCTATAAGCCACAATTGAAAAAGAAGAAAGTTAAAGACAAGGAAGGAGTCTAGCATTTTGAATGACTGTAAAATGGACGACAACTTTCGTGTGAAATTGTTTTGATTACTTAACAACACTACGGAGTGCGTAAATATCGGTCAAATTCTGCGGGTCAAAAAAATAAGGGTAACCTCTGGTCGGGGCTTTTTGACATTATTTCAAAAACGAAATCTTCCAAAATGGATGTGGATATAAGGGGGCTTCGAACATATTGTAGTGTTGTAGGGTATCACATGGTCGGCCCCGCACGACTACAGCCTTTGCTTACTTGTTAAATTAAAATTTATGATATTGTCTTCCTTTAATTTTTTTTTCTAAAAAAATAAAGTATTAGGGAAAATTTTGACTTAGAATGGAAACGTGTCAAATTAGCAGTAAAATATTAACAACATAATTTTTAAGTGCAATTTTAATGTTAAACCTAAAAAAACGGTTTTTTCTGCGGTTTACAGTGAGTTTTTTTTGTGCCGAATATTTCTTCTTTTGATAAATTTTGCTTAAAACGGAATTGTATGTTACTTTCATGAATCTATTCGAAAATCCCAAAACTATTCCAAGTAAACTATCCATGTACTGTTGCATTTTCGACCTTCCTAATTCTGTATGTCAAAAATGAATTTTCCTAACTTAATTTATGTTTTCCTATGTAGGTCATTCTTTCAATACACTATATGCCCCCACGTTAAAATCACTTGGTAGATATTTTATTCACATTGCACCGCATAATCTGGAACATAAGCGTGTAGCCAACTGAACAAAAAAAAAAAAAAAAAACCGAAATAGGTCCCAACGCATGCATTCCACCTAATACCTAAGTGCAACACCATTATTAACGAAATAAATGTGATATGAAATAAACAAAAAATACACCAACTCTTAAAAACTCAAAAATGTTTGCAGGTCACCGATGGTGGTGGCAGTGGTGGTAATGGTGCACCAAATACAATAACGACCTGAACTTGTTTTTGTTCACATTTTTCGCCGACGAAACGGCAACAAGTGCGCACTATGGTCCCCGGCTGTGTGCCAATTTAAGATTCCATTGTGTTGGCTCCTTCAAAGGCACTGAGTTCTATTCTTGTCGAATAAAATAGTTGTGAGATTTTTTTTGCGCTCAATTTTGTTGCGAATTTATTGTTTGCAAGGAAATTGTTACTGTGTTTTTGTTGAGATTGTAAATCAAAAACAGTGTGCGTTGTGTGTTTTTGCCGTTGTTTCGTCGTTTTTGGGGGTCTATTATGAGTTCTGAAAATTTGCACTGAAACTGGTTATTACCATAAAAATTCAGTGTTTTTTTTTTTGC